CAGAGGTCAGTAGTGCAGGCAAAGAATGGCTTTTCTGCTAGCTGTGCACTGATCATAGATCTTGTCTCGTCATATATCTTGGGAATTTCATTATACATGAAAAAATTCCTTGATGGGAGGTCATACTTTTTGTCCAAATTATGCACAAGGTTTCTGAACCCAGCTTTCTCTACTGAATATATTGGCACTTGATCCATACAGATAAATTCTGCAACTGCCCTGTTGAGCCTTTTAGCATCTTCGCTGTCCTTTGGATACTTCATATGCTGTTGAAAGACATCTTGGAGAGTAGGTTGCTTCTGAGTGGGTGGTGTCACCCTCTCTGAGCCAGGAGCACTAGACTTCTGTAATTGGGGGAGGAAGGGTGTACAGTATTTTAAATAACATGATCATTTTAATTTGAATGCCATTGCTTTATTTTACTTTTTCTTATTGTTCAAAAGGTTTATGTTTTGAAACTATACATGAAACATTATATGGACATAACTAGAAAAATAAATTGAGGCTCATTCTATCATCTAGGATAGGATTAGATATTGTAGGCTAATAAAATGTTTTACAAAAATGTTTCAATATAATATTTCATTTATATTATGCATTGCCTTAATGGGTTATTTAAATATTTTAAATAAAATATATTTTTGAATGTATTTATTAACCATGGACATGTTTTAGCTCTGTATGCAGGCTACTGTAGATTTACTACTGGGCTGGCAGGGGCTTTGTACTTCTTTCACTGACATTACAGTGCAGTGAACTGGTGAACAACATTATCACCTGTCGTTCTTGACTGAAGTCTTTGAACAAGTCCGCATGGTTGTCCTTTAAATGCTTCGAGAGGTTTGAAGTCTTGCCTCCTTTAGCGAGACACACCTTGTAGCACCGCTTGCACTGCGGTGCTTCTAGGTTCAACGGCTGACCTTTATCATTTGGTTTAAACCCGAAATACTTCCAAACCGTACTTCGGGCCCCCATTTTGTCTACGAGTACGGGCTTTTCTGCAGCTGCCATCTCTGTCTACCTAATTTTTTGTTCAACCCGCTCCGTCTGTCTAAAACCCGACTCGTAATTTCTCTCTCCTCCACAGTCTGAACATGCGAGTGCGCGTGGGAGGCGGCTTAAATCCGCTCGGGCTACGTCACACTCGCTGGCCTCGCTGTGCTTAAAGAGACAGGCTCCAATTTACCAATTCATTTGCATTCAATAAAATAAAATAAAAGTACCGTTTGTTTTTAAATGCTGGTATAGTACCGTTTTCAAAACTCTAGTATCGCGGCACTATACTGGTACCGGTATACCGTGCAACCCTACCAGAGGGTCAAAGGAAGGCTGATAAAAATGATAATGCACATCACCACATCCATGATGAATGTAGTTTCTTCATCATCGATCATGATGGTGATGCTATTGTTGTAAAATCATACTCATTCTCGATGTAGCTGTCATCGTAGGTTCTGTTCTGTGAGGTGATATTAATGTAGGAATCTTCCATTCTTCACTGTGAAACCTGTTTGAGAGATCAGCAAGTGTTTTAACATCTACCTCACATTGTTCAGTGATAATACTAAAGCTGTGAAGTGCTGTTCACACAAATACAGTACAACTATAGTTCAGGATAAATCTTAGTGATCCAGCATTTTAGCACAAATCTCAAGTTACTGGTATTTAAGGCAAGAGAGGGTAAAAACAAATGCAACTGTAGATTACTGTACACCTACAGTCCAGTCCACTTGTTATGTATCAACACCTTTACAGTTTTAATGTACTAGGTTATACATAGATTGAGAGAAGTAATGTAACAAAAACTTTGCCTTTAAAAGCTGGTGGACCACAATCTGGATGTCTTTCTTTTACTGCTGTATACACAGTCTAACCATGTCTAATGCAGCAATGTTGCAAGATATGACATGAAGGAAGTCTCTTATAATCTAATACAGTTAGGCCCAGAAATATTTGGACAGTGACACAAGTTTTGTTATTTTAGCTGTTTACGAAAACATATTCAGGATACAATTATATAATCAATATGGCCTTAAAGTGCAGACTCTCAGCTGTAATTTGAGAGTATTCACATCTATTCACAGCTCTTTAATACGTAGCCACCTCTTTTTCAAGGGACCAAAAGTAATTGGACAGTTGACTCAGAAGGCTGCAAAAAAAATAACAAGGCTGCATGGGCTCTTCCCTCGTTAACCTGTCATCATTGAGCAGGTAAAAAGGTCTGGAGTTGATTCCAGGTGTGGCGTTTGCATTTGGAAGCTGTTGCTGTGAACACACAACATGCGGTCAAAGGAGCTCTCAATGGAGGTGAAACAGACCATCCTGAGGCTGAAAAAAAAAAGAAATCCATCAGAGAGATAGCAGAAATGTTAGGAGTGGCCAAATCAACAGTTTGGTACATTCTGAGAAAAAAAGAGTGCACTGGTGAGCTTGGGAACTCAAAAAGGCCTGGACGTCCACAGAAGACAACAGTGGTGGATGATTGCAGAATCCTTTCCATGGTGAAGAAAAACCCCTTCCAACATCCACTCAAGTGAAGAACACTCTCCAGGAAGTAAGTGTATCAGTATCTAAGTCTACCATAAAGAGAAGACTTCATGAGAGTAAATACAAAGGATTCACCACAAGGTGCAAACCATTAATCAGCCTCAAAAATAGAAAGGCCAGAATTGACTTTGCCAAAAAACACCTGGAGAAGCCAGCCCAGTTCTGGAACTGCATTCTTTGGACAGATGAGACTAAGATCAACCTGTACCAGAATGATGGGAAGAAGAAAGTTTGGAGAAGAATTGGAACAGCTCATGATCCAAAGCACACCACCAGATGACAGTATCTGTCTAGTATCTATTTCCTACATTTCTATTGTGCATTGCTTTGAGTGTCATTCTTGCTATAAACTATGGGGTTGCATGGCTTCTCTGTGTCACTGTTATTTTAACTAAAAATGCACATTAATTAATTAATCATTAATCATTGTTTATTTAATATCAGCTGTTTTCATTATTATCAACAATGAGCATTTCCATAACAGACAAAATTGCTGGAGCACCGGAAGCACCATCGCTGAGTCAATCCCCATAGAATCCCATGTTAAAATGCCCAACTTTACAGCAGTAATAAACATGTTTACAGCCTGGTATAAAAAACGGTTTAGGTCCCTAAAACTAATTCCCTCCTTCAGGAGAACTTTCTGGTGAATTTTCGTATAAATTATATTTTATTAAGGCTCAAAGTTATCTATAATTGAGGGCGTGCCGCCTTGAGTGACAGGCATAGTTTGGGTGCATATACCTGTCACCAGTCGGCATGCACCCAAACTGGACACGCGCCCCTCCTCTTTGCCCATTCCTGGATTAGCCGCAAATTCAGCGGAGTCAGGTACTGGCAAAATAGCGACGAGGAACGGCTCAGAGTGGTGCTACAGAGTGGTTTTACAGAGTGGTTTTATGTACTCCACAACAACGTTATAGTTTGAGCATTACACAAAGTGCTGTCAACTCACTTATGGATCCTAACAGCAGAGCTGCTTCTTGTTCTTCGCATCCCACTTACTAACCTGCTGGCTCGTGCACGGGCCCACTAGAAGGTTCTGAACGTGTTCTGAGGTTAAACGTTTGTCAATATAAACAGGCTGTTCCTCCTTAGATCGGTTAGAGTCTCTAGAATTCAAATATTCCGTTCATTTTGCGCTAACCATGTCACATAAATATAATTTATTAACCAGCATCGTGGTGACTACCTACCGTTTGGACATGTAGAACTCCAATTCTCACTCCATTCCTCCATTGCTTGTATTCCTTTAGTCCGCAAGGTCCACAGATCACAAACATCAAAACGGTTCCTTATAAAAGTATTCCAGGTTTTTAATATCATCATGATAAAGTCCAAAGCAGGCCACTGAGCGAGTTGTTTCCCTCACTGTTATGCTCCATCTGCAGCTGCGTTGGCGGGTCTGCTCTTGTTTGTCATCTTTCTGAACACAAAATGGCGGCGTCACTTCAGGGCAGTAGCGGGAAGACAGTGAGCATAAGACATAATGACGTGTTCTGTTTAGGTTGTAAAAAGCCTTTTTTCCACATCTTTTCTGAATGAATCTAGCTTGTAGATAGATGTCTCCCCTGACCAACATATGTATTCTTGAATATCCCCGTCACCGGTTAGTAATGCTGCGTTCAAGGCAACAGCTACAAGTTTAAGAAGTGAGTGAATGGCCAGTTGTCTGTGTTGTGTTTTGAGCTGAGCATCTCCGATAAAAAGTAAGTGTGAACATGTTTGTTAATCCAGGTTAAATTATGAGTATTGTTGATTTAAGATTACCGCGCTAGCAATTAGCGCGCTAGCTGTTAGCACGCTAGCTAATGCACCTGTAATTGCATTGATCTTGAGCTGCTAGCCGCCGTATTAACTAGTAAAACGGATCTGGCAGGTCTCATCTCCGGGTTGGTGTTACTGTAAAAAGCGCCGAGACACTTCGATCAGTTACTGTGTGCTATGAAAACTTGTTTTGAATCTCTGCTAACTCTTCCACGCCGGTGCGCAGTGTAGCCGCTGTGTTTCTGGTTGAACAGCACCGTGCTGGACAGGTGGCAGGTGTGTCTACAGTGTCTGTGATCTGAAAGAAGTTACTGCAGTAAAGAGGGTGAAAAATTACCGCGTTCAACCGGGGTAAAAAAACCCCTCTGCTGCAGTCATTTGACCCGGGTGTGAATGCCGATTGTTCCATTGTCGACAAAAGCCCGGTGTTAGCGGGTCTTAGCGGGTGCTTTGACCAGTGGAAAGGGGGTTTAAGAGACTTATTCTGGTTCTTACCAACAGATAATAAATTCCATGGAAATGGACGTGTGTGTGTGTGTGTGTTTATGAGAGAGAGAGAGAGAGAGAGAGAGAGAGAGAGAGAAAGAGAGAGTGTGTGTGTCTGTGTGTCTGTATGTGTGTGGGATCCTCTGAAGAATGAACCGTTTCTTCATGGGTGACGTTGTCAACAGGAAGAGCTCCCCGGGTTGCCATTTGTTTCCAGTCCCTCCAGGAATAAGGAAGCTGTTTTGTTTGAGAACATACTCCGAGGTTTGCAGAGTTTTTCTTTTTCTTTTTTCTTTTAAATACAAATGTTTTTAGATGTGTGTATAGTTCCAGTTTCGGGGCGGTTTGACAACAACAAGAGCAAGTAGGAATGAAAAGTTAAGGATATTTAAAAGAGCTGGAAACGCTGCCAGCGACAGTGACGTCATTAGCGGGAATTCTTACGGAGGCGGGCTGATGTTTACAGTTGTTTACAGCAACTGCAGGAGTAACTACTGTTTTGTTTGAGGTGCAAGTTTGAGGTGTTGAGTTTTATATCTAACGTTTTAAATGTGATGAAACTCAGTGTATATTAGCCTCAGTTTCAGAGGACAAGAAAAATCAGGAGAACAAAGTTAATGGTAGTTAAAACAGCTGGACATGCTGTGTTAATTAGCTAGCTAAAATTAGCTATTAAAAGATAATTCAGTGTACTTAATTTTCAAAATGTAAACAAATATAGGCTCAAGTTGTAACCCACACACTGTACATCCACTCAGCAGCTTCAGCCTGCCTGTTTCCAAGTTGTAGATCAGAGCTGAATCCATTTAAATCACAAAGTATTGTGTCTTTATTTAAATTTTCCCCTGTCATTTAACGTCAATATTGTTATAATTTAAAGCACAGGGTACAATATCCATTGGATCTCACAAGACTATTTATGCAGCAGAGTCGGAGCTCTTAACTTTGAAATATTGTTTGGACATTTTCACACCCAGATTTTGCCTCCTCTTCATCTTGCTCATCCATAATTCCACATTAAAGCCCAGTTCGAACAAGAGGTTCCAAAAAACAGTGTCTGTTCCTCTGTGTGTGATGTCTTACATGGTGTGTGTACTTTATTTATGGGAATTTGTTTCACAGAAAACCAGCCGTAAGATGACGTTTGAATACCCCACTAATTTCTATGGGGTGTTGTTCTGGATAAACATCGGTGCTGGCATTCCTTTGACTTTACTGGCCATCTGTTCTCTGTGTTGCCAGGTATGTAAACAATGACTTACATTTATGTGTCTGTCTCTGTGAATTTTTTTTTGATGTCTGTGTATAAAGGTGGTGTTTTGTCCATAAAATATATTTCCTGTTAGACCTTTCAGATACATCTGATCTTTTTTTTGTAAAAGTATTAAAGGAATAGTTTGACATTTTTCTGAGATGTAGATGTGAAGACCGATACCACTGTTATGTTTGTCTGTTAAATATGAAGCTGGAGGTGATCAAGTCCAGTCAGTGTCCTTTAAACTAATATAATATGCTGCTTATTGGTATCTCCACAACATTTGATGTAAAGATTTTTATTGTTTCAGCCAATGACTTTCGGACAATGTCGCATGTTTACTGCTCTGTTAATGTAAATTCTTATGATAATGAACTGTATTTGAACGGCACCTTTTATTCAAGAAATGCAGCCTCGAGTCCTGAAAATACAAAGACATTACAAGCATCAAGTGCTTCCTGAGATGGGACAGTAATAAAATAATTACACAGAAAACAAAGAGTTAAAGTTAGAATGTGTTAGAAACTTATCTTTTTCATGAATGTTTCCTGCAGCCTCGAAAGGATCGACTCCCCATCACCTATGTCGCAAACCTCCTCATCTCCAATCTGATTCAAATCTGCTCCACCATCCTCTGGAAGATACACCTCACTGGAATGGCCGGTTTTTTGATTTCAATGATAATCTCTGTATTTAGTTTGTGCTATGGTGTTTTGGCCAGTCTCTGCTTCAAGATGTGTGTCGCGCTGGAAAGGTAGCTGTCTGTATTTCCAGTATCATATTGTGAATCATCCTGAATATATAATACTGTTCTGTGATAATCCAGAATATCTGTCTCATCTTTCCTTGCAGGTACATGGTCATCGCCTTTCCAAAACAGAAGTGCATCAGACGAGTTGGGACTTCTGTGTTTGTGTGTGTCGCGATCTGGGTCCTTTGTTTTATCATTATTTTTTTTGCCATGCGCTCAAAGCAATATTTTTACCTCCCCTACCCTGCCCTCCTACCTTTACCCCTGTTCATCGCCTGTCTGGTTTTGACCCTTGGAGCGCTGCCTGCTGCCACCTCTGTGCCCGCTGAGGAAAAACGAAGAACTGTTGGAGCTTTGGTTCTGTTGCTGGTTAATTACACTCTGCTGATCCTTCCTTCAATCATTATGATTATTGTAATGTTAACGGATGCCACTGATTTCCCAGGGGTCGTTCTGCCCCTGATTCAGTTCAGTGCTTTTCTGGATTTGATTCTGGTTGTTCTCATGCGGGAAGGGCCCGTTGACAGGTTGCTGGCGCGCCTGTGCTGCTGCAGGATGGACGACGTTGCAGCAGATGATAGTGGAGAATCACAAGTGTGACTGATGTAGGATGTAGACAGGTGGGTGCATGTAGGCACAGAAAAAAAGAAAGAGAGATGCAGGGAAATTAAAAGCAAGGCAGCATCTTTAACAGATGATGTTTGCATGTGGACACCTGACAGAAAAAAGGAAGCGTTTATGATGTTGACTGTTGGACACTGAAAATGCAAATTTATAATTACAGAAAGACTCCAGATATTATTAACATGTTTAACACAGAGAGAATCTTAACAAGTCTTTAGGATTTGTTTTCTTTTATTGTTCTCTCATTAACGCTTTAATAGTTGTTCACCTTTTCCTGTTTTCCAACCACAACTGTCGTTCCCTCCAGACGACCCCACAGTCTCTTCAGCTAAACCTCTCTAACACTGAACTCCTTGTCATCCTGGCCAGTCGGTCTCTCCATCAAGATTTCAAAGTCGCCTCTTTGTCTCTCACCCCAACCAAAGTCTGGAGAAACCTGGGTGTCATGTTTGATGACCAGCGTTCCTTCTCTGACCATGTTGCATCTGTCTCCTGGTCGTGTCTCTTTGCTTTATACAACATCAGAAAAATCAGGCCTTACCTGACTCAGCACTCCACCCACCTCTTAGTCCAGGCCATGGTTCTCTCTCACCTCACCTCCCTTCATTCACAGTGAAACCCGAATAGATAACAGCCCGTCTGGTCTTCGATCAGCCCGAAAAGTAACGAGTCACTCCTCTGCTCGTCGACCTCCTCTGGCTACCCATGGCCGCCTGAATCAGATTCACATCTCTAATGCTGCCTTCAGAGAGACTTCTGACTCTGCTCCATCCACTTGAACTCAATCAGCTTAATGCCCCTCCTCAACCACTGCGTTCCTCCAGGGAACGTCGTCCGTCATCACCATCCCTGCACACAAGACGGTCTCAGTCCAGACTGTTCTGGTCTGAGGTTCCCTGCTGGTGGAACAAACTACCAAACACTGTCAGAGCAGGAGCGATCCTCTGCATCATCAACAGTCTCTTGAAGACTCATCTCTTCAGAGAGCAGCTCCTCTCCTAACAGCTCTAACTTTCCTAACTAGCTCTGACTTTGCACTTTCACTGCACTTCTTTACTTGATGTCCTTGTACTTATTAAATACATATAGTACTCAGTACTTACGCCAAGGTTTCCTACTGCACTGAGGCTTTAGTGACGTCCCTCACTTGTAATTCGCTCTAGATAAAAGCATCTGACAAATATCTAAATGGAATTTGTCAGTTCATATTCATGTTTTTTTTTTCAATGTGCAAATAACAAATAATAAATTACATTAAATTTATTTATTATTTTTCACTTTAGTGGTTTTACTTTTTCATTTTGTCTAGCATGACTCAATAGATTTTTGTTCAGGAGTCTTTAGTCCCCACAGCAGGAATCCCACTGAGGTTGGTTGTCTGCTTTTCTTTTCTTTCTTTTTTTTCACCACGAGCAGTTTGACTTTTTTGTGGATGATTGACCGTAGAAGACATAACGAATTGACTGAATCGAATTATGTTGGCACTGTATTTGCTGCTGTTCTGTACAATTTGAATTATCATTTTTTTCCTTATTCAGCGAATGTAAATATATACAAATATAAAAGCATGTGGAACTTCAATAAATAATTTTTACCTTTTTGCTGAGTATCTGGTTTAGTTGTTTGTTATTATGTAAACTGGTATACTGCAGTGAAACTAGTTAACATTTCATTTCATTAGATTTTTGTCCTCCTCCCTTAAATGCAAGTATTTTATTGATTAACACTTAATACTGTCTATGTTGTGACCCAGCGTTATTCTGCTGAGTGGTTACATTCATTCTCTTCCATGAAATGATGACAGTTTCAATGACAATTTGATTAATGAAAGGTTTCCCAGAGTTGGTGTTAAACAGCTGCAAGATGCATGTTTTCCCAAAGAATTTGAGAAGTTGGAATAAATTAATCATTAAATAACAAGAAGGTTCTCACACAGGATCTATCAAACCAATCATATCGCGTTTAAGATCTCAAAAGAAGAAAAGGGGAAGTTGAGTTGTGTAAGAGCTTTTCAGAAGCAGATGACAGTGCAGTCGATGGTACATGGAACACATTACAGTGGTGGTACAGCGGCACTTAACCAGTAAGTTAAATAGTAATTCCATGGTTATTTATTAGTAATTTTTCAGATTTGCATTATCTAGCTATACAAAATATAATCAGTAAATACATTCTGATGAACTATTATAGATTAAGGTACCCGGCAGTATAGAAAGGATAAAAATAGCCATACCATTTCTAGCTGCAAATGCAAATGTTGCCTACACTTTACTGCAGCAATAATTATAATACAATTATATATGTGTATTATTTTGCGATGAGTACTGCTTAAAGTAAATTTCCTACTAATACCTTTGTACTAGTTTAACTTCCTTTACTGTGTGTTGTAAGGAGTCCTTGAGTGCCTTGAAAGTCTATAAATAAAATGTATTGTTCTCATTAATTCTAATTAATCTAATCTAATTAATCTAAGTTAAATTTTGAATGTACAAGTTTTACAACTGAGTATTTCTGCATTGTCGTATTAAGCAAAAGATCAGAGTATTTCTTCGGTCACTGATTGTCATATTGCAGCAGTAACAGTAGTAATGACCATTGACTGTATAATATTGTTCCAGTGGTTTGAGGAGGAAGAAATGAGTAGCTGTAACACACCCGCTGCTGTTTTCTCTGTTACACAACAGGTCAAAGTGAAGGATGGAGTATTTCTACCTCAACAACTTTGCCGACTTCAATTACACCTATGAGTATTATTTTTATGACCTTGTAAATTACACCATGTTTGAGGAGTTTGACTTTCGTAACATGAACAATTGGCAAATTGTTGGGCCGAGCGCCTCGCACATGATTTCATGCATTGTGATCTCGATAGGTTTTCCATTGACCTTGTTTGCCATCTATGCTCTGTATTCACTGGTACGTAAAGAATTATCAAGCTTTCCTGTAAGTATCTGCATCACAGCAATGACCTACCAACTGTTAATGTTGTGTACCCGGCCGCTGCCACTCTTTTTTACACAGGTGCGACACGACCATGTTGCTCCGGTCTATGTCATCAACCTCCTGATCTCCGACCTCATCCAGATGTGCTGCATGGTGATCTGGGTGGCAGATCACAGGAGCTCTATGGTCTTCTACTTCTCTACTTTGATCTACTACATTGGTGTGATGGCCAGCGTTGGCTTTATGGTGTGTGTCGCACTAGAAAGGTAGATAGTGTGTGTGTGCATGAGTAGTTCTTAAAGAAACTGTGAAAGCCTGATTGGTTATCACTCAGTATATCTTTTATTACAGGTATTTGGTCGTCGCCTGCCCACTGTGGTACCGCTTCAGACGAAACGTCAAGTTGTCGGTGCAGGTCTCCATTATGGTCTGGGTCTTATGTTTCATCGAGTTCCTTGTTGCCCGGCTAACTAACGTCTTCGTCATTGTCCGCTTCATCTTCCTCCTCCTCCCCTTCCCGCTGCTGATCATCTTCTCGGCTGGTACCTTCAAAGCCCTGTCTGCGGCCATTTCTGTCACTCCTAAAGAAAAACGGAGAATCTTAGGAACTTTAGTCCTGGTGCTGCTGAAATACACACTGCTGTTCCTGCCCTTGGTCATTTGGCTCCTGGAAATGTCATGCAGGTGTTTACCTTACATTGCAGATGATTCACGCTTATACTTATCATTCCTTCAGTTCAGTCCTCTTGCAGACTTGGTTCTGTATGTTTTCATGAGGAAAGGGGCTGCAGACAAGCTGCTGGACTCCCTGTGTTGTTGCAGGATGACAGGAGAAGAAGAAGTGAGCCAGATAGATGCTGAAGAAGTCTGTTCTGTGTAGTAGTGACATGCTGTCAGGACAAGCAAGGAGAGCAGTGTATGACCAGTTAAAGATGGAAAAATAGACATGAATTCCTATGAGTTCCTATTTTTTAACTGCAGTAAGGAAGTTAGTCTTCTAACTGCTGTTTCCCCTTAACATTCAAAACATTTTCTTAGACAGATGAGATCTGTGTTGTGTTATACCGCACAAGTCATTAGTTGATAACCATAGTGAGTGACTCTCTTCCTGTTTAAGTTCTCTGAAATAATATTATATATTATTCTTAGAACTTCTTAATAGAACAATTAATAATTATTATTACTATTGACCATATGATTGATATGATAATAATATAAAACTATTATTATATTTCCTTTCCCTACATTTAATTGCAGAAGAAATAGAGACGTAATTCTTTGCCTAGTAAATGATACAATCTTTATTTACTACAGCTGATGCTGCAGAGCTTCAAGACTTAGACGCCAAATGTTTTGATGTTTTGATAAAAACCTGACGACTTTCGACACAGCACTGTACTGCAGTTACAACAGCAACATGTTAAAACATAGCTATGTTCTGTTTTCAACCTCTCAACAGATCACTGTCCTGTCGCTGTAGAACACTGTGTGGAAATGTATATGCAATTCTATGGAAAACAGAAGAGCTGTTGATTTTTAGATGTTTTTATGATATTTTCAGTGGTATTTTTCATTTTGCAAAAGGAGCAGATTTTGTGGCATTTGCATTTTTAATAACAGTGTGCAATTTGTGTGTAGCGAATATACCCTCTTGTAGCTGAGGAAAGCAAAACGATAAACTGGATTATGCATTGGAAAACAGACAAATCATCATTGAACTTAGATATAGCATCAATCTATAGTACAGCAACATTAAACACAAACAGAAATTCAACCCACACTTAGTACAGTAATATATATTATATATATTATTTATTAAAATATAATATATGTGTGTGTTGTGTTGGTGTTGTATGAGGAGAGAGAGAGACTGGCCTTGCTCTCATACATATTTGAAGAAAGTTTAAAGTGATGTGATTGAAAACACTGATGCAATGCAGGACTATATCAAAGTGAATGAGAGGTCTGTCATTCTATTTGACGAAGGAACAAACTGTTTTCATGAGTTGTCAAAGTCAGAT